TCTCTCTCTCTCTCTCTCTCTCTCTCTCTCTCTCTCTCACCCACAGTGCCTTGCTGGGACTAAATAGCGCTCCTGACCCCTCCTGTCCGGTCCAGAACTGCCCCCCCCCCACAAACGGGCACGTCTCCAACCAATCACCTCCAAACATGAAACAATAAAAAAACCACATCTTTATGTGTTCTGTTGTTTCTTTTAAAGCTGTAAGTGCAAAAAAAAAAGAAGATAAAACTTACTGTAATGATTTTCACAGAGAAAGAAAACTTGTCTCCTCTGCTGATCTTTGTGCATGAAAAAAAAAACAAAAAAACGATAATTTGATGCTTCTCGTCTGTGAGACACCCCCTCCCTCCCTGAAAGCACACGCAGGAACCCCCACCCACCCAGTTTACTGGTTTTTAAATGCATTCTGTGTAGCATAATTAAAAAAAAACAATGATTAATAAGCTCTTAAATGTTGTAAATAACATTCTGACCCTGGAAAAAAAACAACAAAAATCACTTGGTTTTAGGGAAACCTTGCTGATTGGTCAGAGCATGCTGATGTATTATTGCTTTATTTTAAAGAAAAGTGTTACATTTTAGAGATGTTCATTTCTATTTTTTTAAGCCCAAACAAGGAGGACGATGATGTTTTCTTTTTTTTCTCCTGACTGTAAAGTTTTCCTACTTCTTGTACATTATAAATTGTTATCAATGTGTATATAGCTTTTTCTAAATTTGAGAATTTTGTTTTTCTTTTCTTTTTTTTTTTTTTTTAAACAAACAAACCAGAGCCTGTCAGTGTATTTAAGAAGAGCAACACAGCAGCTGTAACACAATGTATGAACAGTTTGTGGCCTCGGACGTTTTGCTCTTAACCCCCAGGCATGTTTCTGAATGTGAGCAGCTCGTCAACCGCAAAGCCTTTTCTGCTGTCACACGTGTGCTTTAAATGTTTTTATTAAGAGTGGAAAAACTGGAGAAGACCACTGAGCATCCCTCTGAAGAATGTGGACATGTTCAGTGTGACGACGCAGTCAAATCTGATCCTAAAACAAGCTTCAGCTCTGTAGTGTTTTTGTTTTTAAAGTGAAGTTTTGTCAAGTTTTTATCAAAACATCTCGTTCATGTGTCCCACAGAGTAAACGTTATAAAACCACTTGTCTAACTATGCTTAATATACAGATAAAACACAGGTCAGGGCTATTCAACTGATGGCTCACGGGCTGAATGTGACACCTGGATGATTTAAGTCCGGCCCGCCAGTGACTTCATTAAAATTAAGAATAATTTTTCTTACCTGATTTATTATAAAAACAAGTTTTAGATTTATGATTCAAAGCAGCAAACTAAACAAAAGGAGAGGTAAAACATAACCAGAGAATTTGCATTTCCTGCGAAAATGCAGTGTGAATGCTTGATGCTAAACAATTTCCCCTGAAAGCTGCTGAAGGAGCTTAAGATATTTCATAGCATAACTGTTAGTTACATTTGAACATTTGAGTTTTGCTGAATGTAGGAAAACAAAAACCATTTCAAATTAGCAGACAGATGGTGAGCATTCACAGAAAAATAAGAAAAGGAGTACAAAAAAACCCTGCAATTTGTTGTAAAATGGCTAAAGCAGCTAAAATTTAGCAGAAAAATAGCTGAAAAAGCTGAAATTGGCACAAAGGTGCCAAAAAAAGTGTTTGTTGTTGTTAGCAGTAAGAAGCTGGAATTTTCATAAAGGTTTAGCTCAGGTGGAAAAAGCTAAAACCAGCTGAAAATCGCTACAAAGTAGCTAAAAATTTAGAAATCATCTAAAAGCATGAAGTATTAAGTGGTATAAAGACGCTGATTAAAACCTAAAAATATAACAGAATTAGCAGAAAAAGCTAAAATTTGCCACATAAAAAAGTTGAAAAACAGCAGAACAAAGTGCTAAATAGTTACATTAAGCTGTGTTTCCCCTACCTTCATGAAGCCACGCCTCCAGGATGTCCCGCCCCCGAGCTGTTGCTTTTGAGCAACTTTGGCCCCCTGAACCATTCAAGTGAAGTGAGCCTCTTCATGAACTCTTCATCAGTGGTTTCCTCCAGTTTTTTTTTTTTGTCTTGTCTCCTGTGCTGCATGTACTGTAGTTTAAATCAGAGCTGAATGACTGATTGCTCCTCCTCTTCCTCCTCCTCCTCCTCCTCACTGTCTGCAAGTCTCTCTGTGCACATAGGTGGTTCCCAGAGTTCTGTGTTCAGTTTCCTCATTCATTTTACAGCAGATGTGTTCATGTCGGGGGCGTTTTTGTGTCTATGTTGCAATGAGAGGTTGTGCATTGAGCAAGTATAAATGTATGAGTGTGTGTGTGTGTATGTATGTGTGTATATAGTCCCACACAGATGGCTTTACCCTCCTCCCGCCTCACACTGGATCCAAATGTGCCATTATCTTTATCAACCACAGATATCAACACGTCACAGATGGAAATAAATCCGATTTTCCAGGATCAAACAGACGTGCCATGACTAACAGAGTGCTTGATTTATTTTTTCTGTTTTCAAAGGAGAGTAGTGACATGTAAAGAAAAAAATTGCAATGATGAGAATACAAATCTTGCTGTGTAAATTATTCTACAATTAACTGTTTATATTAAAATTATGAAAACAATGAATGCGTGTCTTGTTGCACTAAAAGGTGACTTTGTTCTTACAAGTTTCAGGAAAACGTCATTTAAAAATGTTTAAATCTTGTTTTTGTGCAACTTCAAATCGAGGGAGTTAACATTACTTTGAATAATTTTTGCAAATATGTTT